ACTTATGCGGAAAACCATGTACAGTGAAAAAGAATGGAAATAATTTCTCTGGATTTTTGGATGACAAGTTGGTCCCTTGACAATAAAACTGGATTTCAATCATTATTGAAACATTAATTAAAATATATTTGTAACAATAATTTATAGGGAATGTCAAAAAGTTTTGTATTATTTGCGTAAAACAATTTTTCAAGATGGCAGACACTTTTATGGAATCACTCAGAAAAATAAACTACCTACCAACTGTGATCCTACCTGATAAATAAAATTGTATTCTCACCAAAAAGAAGACAACCATGCTATGTAATATATTTATTTATAGTGTATAAAATAAGTACAATTTATTCACAGATGAATTGGACGGAATCGTTTATTATAGTACAGTGTGGCCCAAAAAGTTTTATACAAATGGAAAAAAGTATTTATCTTACATTTCATAAAAAAAATATTTTTGAAAACATGTTCTGCATCACTTGGAATTCCGGCATTAAATTTTCAAAATTAAAACATTTCCAGTACATACTTTAGTATTGGTTTTGGATTATTTATTAGATTATTATATAGTAAATCGAAATCACTTAAAAATAAGTACAACGATTTAAACTTCATATTTTTTAATTCCTATCAACATTTTAATCAATATTGAAATATTGAAATTTAAAAGTGTTTTACTCTATTATAAATCATTTTTTTTATTTTCCCTGTATACCACCTATATTTTACAAAATTTCATACTTAATTATGATTTTTTTTTTGTAAAATTAAGATAAAACTTTTTCACATTTTGTATAAAACTTTTTGGGACACCCTGTATATTCGTTAATTGCTAAACTATTTGTAATAGGAGAATATAATATGCGTTTCTAAATCTACATAACAAAGTATAGTGGGTGTATAAATAAAATATTGGAGATTCAATTTTGATAAATATCAAGAAAAAATCCAAAGTTGTAAAAATAAAATTAAGTACGAATTCACACAATAATTTTTCAAATATTCTAAGTTGCGTTTGATTAAAAAGAACGAACATTGAATATATAAGAGCACTCCAAATTATTTAGCAATTAAATTTTTAAAATTTATTTAAAGAAAAAATATTTATTTAGTGAATTATTCGATTAGTATGTAGGGAAAATTGAAGCACGTCAATGGAATTCTTCCATGATAAGTACGGAGCCCACAACAAAATGTTTCTAAAGTAGGCGTACGTTTCTTCTTTTTAAGCAGCAGTTTTAGACAAGACTCATTATCTGTCTTTGTCGGTATGCCTACTTTAGAAATATGTTGTTTCTCTTTTATATAAGATATTTAAAAAGTCAGATATAGTAGAAACCACCTTTTAAGAGCAGTTTAAGTTATAATTTGCCTGTCTATTTCATAAGGATGTATTCAACAACGTTGCTGGCTTGTTCTGGCAGCCTGTCACTTCTATTTATAGAAAAATCTTACATCGACAACTAAGATAAAATAAACCCTGCAATCCACCTTTCCCGTCATTGCATAATTTCGCATTATTCATGCTCGAAAAAAGCAACAACTTATTTTCTATCTCTTTCTTATCCTCGTCCTAACTACAACGGGAGTGCGTTTAGAAACTTCGCACGGCGTGTCTGGGCCCTATTCTAATGTATGTGGTCAGACGCGCCGGGCAAGGTTTCTAAATGCACTCTTGTTAGGTTGACAACGACGATCACCTCCTGTCATCGTTACTTTAAACAACTGTACTCGAGTGTCGGTGGGCGTAATTTTTGCTACATTTTTAGTGACACTTTTTTGGTACACATTTGCACAAAGCTAAATTATAAATTTATCGTTAATTTTTACCCTGTAGAAAATGGAAAAACTTTGCTGTAGACGCATCAACGGTGATGCGTTCAATGACGATGTCTTCAAAAAGTCGATGCAGAAAATGCTAATATAAAAGCACAAGCTCGAAACTTTAAGATATTTACATCAAAAGTTAATAGAAAAAAGTTTGGTGCTATCTTGGTAGTGGTGGAAAACCTTCAAGTTTGGAAAATTGAGTATTTATGTTGTAATTATGCAAGGCTCATTTTTTGTGATAGAATAATTATAAGTTAAATTCGTTTGCTGTGAACCGAATTATCTAAAATTTTCAAGCTTGCTGTTTTATGACAGCATTTTCTACACAGGCTTTTTTAAAACGTCATTGTCGAGGACTCTATTGCTGCAAAATACTGCAAGAAATGTATTTCCATGTTCTAGAAGTTAAAAATGAACGAAATATTTGTAATTTTGTATTTTCCAAATAACACACTAAAAATGTCACTGGCTCCCTTAACAATAATAAAAGTTAAAAATAAATATTCACTATCCAACAAAAATACAATGACATTTGAGGGTAGGAAATATAACAACACAAATTTTGATAGTAGGATTTTTAGTAGCAGTAATACAGATAATCAATAACGGGATAGGTCTACTAAAATCCAGTTTCTGTAGCAAAGAAAGTTATACTTTCTGTAATAGATTAATAGAACACCTACAACCAAAGATATCATTTTCACGAGTTTACACAGTTTCTGAATTTACAAAAATTAATAGAAGTCTTTGCAGAATTAAGAAGAGCTGCTAAAAACATTGTACCATCGAAGAATCCTCAAAAACCAAAAAAATGTTCTCAACAGCTTCAGAAAGGAGGTAGAAAAGGATGTGTACTTGATTCACCCTGTTGGAAACGGGCCGCTTTAGATTTTCCGAGCCCTTTTCAGGCGCACTAGAAGGATCAAGGGTCTGAGGGATTGAGATAGAAGGAATGTTGGTAAGTATTTGAGATAATATTACTGATCTAGCATTTGCCTATTATTGCTATGAGAAAATCTATGTAGTTAAAAAGGCAGTAGAGATCGAACCCATTATCTTCCAAATGTGAGGCAGATGAGTTGCTGCGAAGCCACCTTGCTCATAAAGGAAAGACGTTATGGATTATGTACATACTGAATATTAAAACGTTGTCAGAGCAGTTTTGAGCGTTTTTTTATCGCTTGAAACATTTAAATAATTTATTTCAGAGGTGTCTTGCTGAGAAGGGAAAGTGTTTTGAAGCTTGGGTTCATCGGACCCAAAAGTTAATAGATTTAAAAGGGAATATGTGAGAAGCAATAAAGAGATTTACATACCGTAATTTAAGTTTTGTTCTACATTTTTCGAGATACTTTAGCAGTGTTCCTCGAACTGTGGTTCCCTGGCAACAAAAGATGACAATTTCAATGACAACTGCAATGTAATCGATGGAAAAATAGAGGATGTCAAACCTTCCAAGAAAAATCAAAATAATATTCACAGAATATACTGAAAAGACCTGGGAAGATTTGACTGTGTAATCCTGATGATAACCCTGCGTGGTCGAAACTAGTAGTTAAAACTTTTTTTTTCAATAAATTTACTGTGGCCAAAATATCAATATTTTTTTGTTGTGTTTAATTCATTTTTAAATTTAAAACAATTATATAATTTTTATGACATGCGAAACAATAATTATTTGTAATATAAAATGGATTATTAAAATATCTTTAAAATGAATGAATTTGAAGCAAAACTAAATTATTTTTAAACAATATTTTTTTATGCCTAGAATCAATTCATACAGGTAATTCATTTATCTCGAGAACCGTTTGTCTGGCAATTTTGGAAAAAATATCTTTATAAAACCAACCAAAAGAGAGTAATACAAATATTTTTAAGTTTGTAACTTGTAGCTGGTTTATATATATTTCAATAACTAGTTACTAGAGGACGTTCAGAAAAAATTGGTATATTGGTAAAAAGTATAGAAAAATAGTATATACAAAAAACATTTAAACTTTTAGGTTATGGAAGAATTCCAGTGCAAATTTACCCAAGATTATAATTCGAGAAAGGATTATGGCAATTCTAATATTCAGAAAATGATAGGAATTACTTATCATATTTTTTTCTGAATCTCTTACCGATATTTTATTGTATCATTTTAAAGAGATTTATGCGTAACTGATCCAGTTTTGCTTTGTTTTAGGTTTTATATTTCAGTTAACATAGTGTCTGAAACATTAAAGAAATTATTATACATTTTCTGAATAATAGAATGTTTTCTAAATAACATGTGATCCACAAAAAATTTTTCTAAAGTAGGCCATGTCCACAAAAAGTAATTTTATAACATATAAGGAATATTAAAAATATAATTCATGTTAAATTTATATCATAAAGATATGAGCCATAAGATAACTATATTCCTCTGAATTAAATTCAAACTGTAATAAAAAAAAAAAATAAGAAGACTCGTACGCTCCAACATACGTTATTTTTTCCATGGCCTACTTTAAAACCATTTTTTCCATATTAACAATAATTCTCTTACACACTTAAAACATGAATGCATAAATAGGTATGAATAGTCAACCAACGTACCCCCAAAGAAACCCAAAAAGCAATAATTATATACAAAATATAAGTAATAGGTGTAAAATAATGTTCAGTCTCTTATCAAATAAGCAAGTGTAATTAATTTGATATGCATCACATACGATAAAACTTTTCAATTTACTAAATTATGTATTTAAAATTGAAAAATATATCAATCATATATTTATGACTAGCATCTGAAGCAAATTAACTTATTTTTGCTATATATATAGCACTATGTTTTAAGTATAAGTACACAAATTCGTACTTAAAATGTGTTAATGTTTATCTAAAAAAAAATTAGTGCCATCTTTAAACAAATGATATAGAAACGATACTTCAGATTAGTCATAAATGTTTAAGAAAAAACTGTTATTTGCATATATCACAGGTGACACATAAATGTGATGTTATTAAATCCAGTGAGAAAGCATCGTGTATCACATATGACAATTATATAACTTTAAGTTAATATTATATATAAAAAAAACATTATGTATCGCATATGATACACGACACAAAAGATCATTTAATCCGACACCCGCCATCCCTTGATTGATTTGGAAGCGAGAAAAATGACTTAAAAGTCAACTTGCCTGGGGGTTTACAATGTAAGTGTTCTTCAATAAATTGGCATGGGCATGTTAAAGAAGAGCAATGGCGTCCGCCAGAGGCGGGTGGACTATTTAGGTAACCTCGAGCGCGATCTCTACCCCACCTGGAGGCGTAACGCAGATATAATAAGGTTGCTCTTTCCTAAAAATAATAAATTTTTAAAAATTTTATACAGTGTGTTTCATAAAGTTGGATCCATATTATAGTTGGCTAGGTACTGCATTCGATATTTTTGAAAAATCATTAAAAATATGTTTTTTAATACGAATTGTTCTACGAAGTTTTTTTTCCAATCGTAATATTAAAAAAAATCCCACATGGATCCAGCTTTAAAGCACAGAATGTGTAACCAAGTGTTGGGTTATTATGTAGAATTCTAATAATTTTCCTAAGAACTAGTACGTAAAAAAACACTGAAAATTTATTATGTTTGCTGGATTTAATAGTTTTCAGCAGTTTTGTAAATATTTGGAAAAAATAAAAATGTACTGTTAAATGTGTTTTTTTTTTAATTATGCATAGGTAATTGCAATAAAATAATTATTTTTTCATCGCTATTGTGCTTTTAATGCAAACTATGCTTTGTAAAAAAAAACTGTAGTAATGGAGGAAAATGGTGGTAATTTTTGGATTCAGCATTTTATAAAATATAAAATTTACCAAAAAGTAACCCATGCAGCTGATTTTTGTTTTTTTTTTGCAGATCTGTTATCAATCAATATTTGTTAAGGGAATATCTTCGACAATCGCCAAAAAACGAACCGATTTCGAAAGTGAATGCTAGAAAAGCAAGTAGTTTTTAAAATCTATATTCTTGACTGGCGTTCAATGATCATTCGTTTTTTTAAAACGTGTAAGTTTTAAACATGCAAATAATATGCCTGGCATCACTGTAAACTGTCTATATTGTTGAATTCAAGTAATAAAAAATAAGGATTAGGTAATTCAATTACAACAAACCAATTGTAAATTTATCGAATGATTGTTTTCTAATCACATATATAAAAGTTCAGGATAAACTGAATCGTTAATTTTTGGCGGAAAAGTAACTAAACGGATGCAGTCAATGTTCCAGAAAAATCGAACGTCATAAAAAACCTAGTTTTTATAGTACAAAATTAATTTAAATAATGACTTTTCTTATCTCATTCAGTTCTTTAATATTTTGTGACCATTTAACAAACTGGTTAAAAATTTCTGGATACAGCGTGTGATACAAAAGAACTGTGAACTACCACTTGCAAGAAACCGCAAGCAAATGTAAATAAAACACACATGAATTAATAATTAAATTCTTACACATAAGATGTAAAAAATATCCATTTAATTCAAACAATGGATTCAGCCTCTGCATGTCTGCTTCCAAGTTTTCTAATTGTTCAATTAATATTATTTGAATGAAATTTTAAATTTTTTTAGTACTGCAAACTATAAGAAATTAGATACTTTTGTAGGTATCAATAAAAAGTAGTTTACCTAGAATTTGTTAAAATCAATCAATATTATTAATCATCCTAAAAGTGACATTGGCCCCAATAAAAATGGGAAAATCAAAATTATCAATTTTTCAAAACGGCTGATATTTTGGACTTTAAACATTATACGAATGTGACTAAAATTGGCAAAATTTTTCGAATTTTTAGCACAAACACAATAAAATAGAAAAATATTGTTTATATTTAAAGGTGTTTTAGTACTGAGTGGCTCAGTGGTTAGACTTTGTAAAAATTAATTCGAATGCATTCTCTATTTGGGGTTTAAAATAAATGTGCTGTTCCTAAGTTACAAAGCGTGTTCAGGACACAAATAAATCAAAAATCAAAGCAATTGGGTAGATATTAGCAAAGCTATAAAACTAAGAAAAAAATAAATAAAACATTTGATTAAAATTAAAAAAAAAATCATTGTTTTTTCCAATATGGCAATACTGAATATGTTGTTAATCTATGAAGTGCAAGTTTTTTTAGATTTCAGAAATTTATTATTAAATTAAATTCTGGTTTTGCCATGCACTGTCTAAAATTTAGACAAAGAAAGAGATGTTTTATATGAGTTTAATATTTGATGCCAAACAGTCGCATATTATAATTCAGAGTTATGCGTCCCCTCTCTTTCCTAGTATAATATATAAAAATTATAAAAAGACAATTTGCAACGGTTAAATTGACAAAAAAAAAAACCGGCCAAGTACGAGTCGGACTCGCGCATGAAGGGTTCCGCACCATCGTATTACTATGTAGGTACTTTTTAAATATTATATTAAGATCGAGCAAAAAAACTAAAAAAAAAAAACACATTTCCAGTAGGGGACCTCCCTTTAATTTATAATTTATTTTTATTATTTGTTGTTATTGGGGCAACAGAAATGCACATTCTGTGAAAATTTCAACTGTCCACCTATTACGGATCATGAGATATAGCCCGCTGACAGACAGACGGACGGACAGCGGAGGCTTAGTAATAGGGTCCTGTTGGTTACCCTTCGGGTACGGAACCCTAAAAATATGGCAAAGAATTATTTAAAAAACTTCGTATTTCATGGATACCTATTTCTCCTTCGATACGTTTGTCTAGTAAATTAGGGTCTCATTCATTTCATGAATCCACTAAAATTTAGATTTTTATTCTTTTTTTTGTTATTTTTTAAGTTTTACTACAACTTACATTTTCTCAGGAAATTTTATTAGAATTCCTACATACTCACCTTTTAATGTATTTTGTAAGGTACAAATGTTAGTTTTTATTTATATAAATATATTGTAAACTTAAAAATACCCTTATTTTTAATGTTTCAACAAATAAGTTATTAACACAAAAAAGGCGCGTGAATATTAGATTGGACTTGAGATTATAAGCTGGTAGTATGGGACATGTCATGATACACAGTAAAAAATGAGTTTAAAATAACGAAATTCTTTTAGTAGATAATGAAAATATGAGTGAAATTAAATTGTAGTATCTTTTAAATGTTATGATACGAAGAAGTATAGGTATGTGTGGCAAGTATGAGTCAGAGATTTAAAAAAAATATTTGTTTTTAAATTCCGCATTTTTTTAAATAATTTGCGTATAATAGTAAAATTGCGCCAAAATCTTCCTTAATTAAAGTAACAAACTTATTACATTACCTTGTAGACAACTGGATGGAATATTAGAATATATAAAAGGGGTTATCATTAAAAAAGCAGATGACGTCACTACATTTACATGCATTACCCTGTATATTTTATGATAAAAAGTGCGGAATTGAAAACAAAATTGACCTGTTTTTTAAAAATTGGTTCTAAACGCATTGTAGGCCAAATAAAAATATTAAAAACCAATTAAATGCATCTTCACTTTATCATGTCCCATATCTACCTAAGAAGCTTTTGATTGCACACAGACTTAAATTAAGAGTGACTTAAATGATGCAATGATAGATAGTGTGACCCATCCCACATGTGAAATTACATTATGATAGCATGAGCAAATATTTATTAATATTGGCAAAGTAGCGCAGTGGTTTAGGTTTTACTTTGCCAACATCAATTCAAGAATTCAAAGTTTTGTGGAAAACGATAAAATATTGTTTTAGTTTTGTTAGTCACATACCATACAATAACAAATAAAAAAAAATTAAAACCATACCATAATAGTTTGACCATTGCTTTATTGATCATAGGGAATACTGCCTTTCCACCTCTGGCTGATATAAATAGAGGTGGGTATGAGTTAGGTACGTCAAAATATGCCTATGATAGGTAAAATACTGACCATATCTGTATATGTTACTGATAACCGATTCCAAGAGTCAACTTTAATAGATGCCATAGGTAAAAATCGATGGCTATGAGGGCAAATATTGCATGTCCAGTTTTGTCGAAGTCCTTCGAGGCTAAATCTTTATGGTTCCGAAATATTGTATATTTCCTTGAAAAGGTTTACTAGTTAGTAAGATAACACTAACACAACCTGTACATATTTTATTCAAAACGACTATTTTGAACATACATTTGTACTTTTAGCCATCGATATATTATTTGGTAAAAAGGTTTTCCACGAAATTAAATGGATGCCTAGACACAGTTCATATAAGTGCAGTATAAAAGAGGTCGCAACAAACAATTTAATCTGGGAAAATAATGGCCTAATAACTGTCTGCATCCAATTATAAATTATTGCCATTTAATTTTTACCTTCAAAGGGCCCGCATATATAGGTCACTACGGCTGACAGTCGGGCCAGTTACAGGGCTTTTAACACCCCATCGTACTGTTAAAGGGCCTTCGATGGCAGGCCCAATATTGGCCGATTTTTAATATTTCAGCATTATATTGAAAAATAAGTCTAGTTTGAGGAAGACGATGTTTGAAATTCTGATCATTTCAATGATGATTATAATTAAATAAATCATTGAAACATTGGGAATTAAAACAGATTTACTGAAATAAGATCTTCATTTTACTCACCACAAACTTCAAATTCAACTAGAGATGGGTTTTTAACATGCATATCAACTTTCAGGTTAAATCATAAACATATGATATGGGCAAGTGATTGTTCCCCAACGCAAGGCCAACATCAAATAATGATTGATGGATCGTAAACTATGAAAATATATTGGCCTTTCAACATTTAGCCAACATAGTCATTTAACCATCAATTGCAGCAATGGGCCATCAGTTTCCCGATTGTTTGTTAGGGTGTTTATCGTAGAATTTAACAACTCCATATTATATTTTACATTTTTGAACTCTCGGAGCTGATTTGGACGACCTATAACACTTATAAACATAAGATATTTTTTATTCGTCATTAATATAGTCGACATAATAGAAAAATGTTTTGAAATATCCTAGAAAATTATAGTTTAGAATGCGAAATATTTTCCAAAAATATTATTGCGAAGTTATGCCGAATTATGTGATGTCTCACAACATATATTTTTGATGCCGTGTTTTTTAATTTGGAATGACAAATTTTTCAACAAAAACGTTTTTTTTTTTCTTAAAATTAATTTTCCAAAAAAGTTATTAACTCGTAATATAATAAGCCAAAAAGCATACCATTTTTCATTCCTAACAAACATTTTGTTTTGGCAAGTTAACGGCGTTACTTCAAGAAGTGGCCTTTCGGTCGGGGTCTGCAATTGGTAAGTC